AAAAATATTTGTGTATTTTCTGTTAAAATGTAAATTTTTAACATTTATATTTCTATTGTAAATATTGTAACTTCTTTAGGAAAACATTTTTTTAAAGTTATATAAGAACTAATTTGAATTATGTAAGAACTTGAAATAGGCAAAACCTCTAAGCATTTGCAACTAATAAATATTTACACAACTTTCTCAAAATTATAAAATGTACTACCGCAGAAATTTAATGAAACTATTGAAAACCATTATTACTATATCATGATTATGTGTAGATTACTTTTCTTTTTAAGATATGATCTTTTTAATTAAACAACAAAAAATGTCACTACACCAAAACACAAATAATAATGTTTAAAATTTAAGGGGATCTCTCTTTTATTTTTTTGGACTTACTTTATTTTCTAACAACTAACTTTTAGGTGATAAAAGTTTAAACAAAATTAAATTAATTGGATTTGAAGACTACTAAATTATTTTAAAATATTTTAAATTTTTGGAAATTGTAAAAGATTAGTTTGTAAATCTAATGAGATCTTTCTTAACTGCACGAAGCGCAATCTACTAGTTCTATTATAAAATAATAATCAAACTGTCACGATCCAAAATGAGTCGTGAGTGGCACCCACACTTAACCTTCTAAGTGGGCGAACCATGAAATCCAAACCCCAACATAAACCAATAATTCAACTACGAATAACAACAACAATGCGGAAGCTCAAAACTTATTAAAGTAACCAATCAAATAAACCTCTAAAGTCTAACACTTATTATCCCCAAAATCTGAAAGTTATCACATCAAGGACATCTAATCTTCAAAATACTAAGTCTAAGAGTATTAAAGACACCAAAATAAATGAATAAAATAGCTTATGTCCGAAAAACTAAGGACATCATGCCATGACCAAGAGAATCCAACACGAGCTGGAATGAATAGCTCACCCTGGAACCTGATGTGCTGGAGACTAGCTAGAGTTGAGGGAGAGTCAAAAGTCACTGATACAGTCGTTGCACTCCACAAAAGAAAACAAAGAAAAATACAAGTAGGGCTCAGTACAGGGAAACATGTACTAAGTAGATATCATCGGCCAACCCAAAATAGAAACTAACATGTAATAAATAATAGTATAAAATCAACTATGACACTTAGCAGGGTGGCAAGCAACAAACAACATGAACAAGTGACAACGGAAGCAAGTACGCAATCAATCACAATATCAAGCACATTGAGGGAGAGTCAAAGTCACTGATACAGTCGTTGCACTCCACAAAAGAAAACAAAGAAAAATACAAGTAGGGCTCAGTACAGGGAAACATGTACTAAGTAGATATCATCGGCCAACCCAAAATAGAAACTAATATACAATGAATAATAGTCCGATCCAATAATATCGTGTCGGAACGTGACACTCCAATCCAATTATACCGTGTCGAAACGTGACACTCCGATCCAATAATATCGTGTCGGAACGTGACACTCCAATCCAATTATACCGTGTCGAAACGTGACACTCCGATCCAATAATATCGTGTCGGAACGTGACACTCCAATCCAATTATACCGTGTCGAAACGTGACACTCCGATCCAATAATATCGTGTCGGAACGTGACACTCCAATCCAATTATACCGTGTCGAAACGTGACACTCCGATCCAATAATATCATTAATTTATCATTTATTATCACCACTTTTCAGTTCATTAACAATATTTCATCAAACCTTCTTTATTCAATGCATCACTTCGATAGAGAGGGTTTCAGATTATAAATTTCACGGTCTCAGGATTTTAGACCAATCACAAACAACACAACCAAACCACACAACCACACAATCAAGTACATAGAGAACTTCACAATATCACTCAATACATATCAGTCACTATTAAGGGTCTAACTATCGAAATAGAATAAATCATAACCTACCTCTACCGAAGAACTGACGTCAGGCAAGCTACTTCTCCAATGCCTTTCCTTTCCTCAATGCCTCCGAACCTTTCCAATCTATCAAGTATATATGCATAATTTGTAAGTTAACAAGCCTATAAACACTCATATTATTCTATGTCCAACCTATACCCCAAAATTCCCCTAATTCTATAATCAATTTCCTAAAGTTCAAACCTGAGGATAAGTCTTAATTCCTGCAATTAGCATAACTTTAATCCCGAACTTTCCAATCAAGAATCACGTGAATGCAAAATTAATTTGCAACTTTACTCTATCAATGTTTATGTATAGATATATGCTTGTAATCCTCAATTTCAGTGTCACCTATTATTTAATGATAATCTCTCTTCCACTAATTAATAACAATTTTTACGGATCATATCCTTTTCTATTGGCACTGGTAGTTCAATTATATACTACCTTATCTACCGATAATCTCTAATACAAAATGCACCCTAATAATGATATTTTAATGTATTAACCTCAAACATACTAACAATTTCACCTCAGTTTCCTTAGTAATCATTAGGTCATTATTACGTACAGACCTTGTCCCCAACTTCAACATATATAACTCTAACATTCTTTCCATCTGTAACGCATGCACAAGCCTAATTGCAACCCTAATCCATTATAATTTATGTAACGCAATAGAAGAATTGATACTAATTACCTGGATATCGGTCTTCTTGACAGATGCTGCAGGTATTGCTTTCTCGCCTCAAACCCTTATTCTTTCTACAGAATATTTACTCCCTAATTATTATTAAGACTAACTATAAAAGTGGTAAAAGTGACCTCTACTAATTTTAATGTTATCTTCTTTAAACACCAATTAAATTAATTATTAAAACTACCCCACCAAATTCATAATTGTAGTTACGAATAGTCCAAAATATCCATTTAAAATCTATTGGAAAGTATTTTATGAAAATAAAAAGCTCTAGTACTCAAAACGACCACATGGGTCGTTACACAAACAGACCATTTGTACGAGAACAAACTCATAAAGAGAATTTTTGTATGAGTCTAATCTTTTGAATATATATATATATATATATATGCATTTTCTTTTTGAGAAAGAAATACTTATTCGAGGAAATTAAATACAAAAACACACTTTAGGAGTGTAAAAATATCTACCTATAAAAATTATAGTATAGATTTATTTAATATTCAGATCCTTAAAAGTATTTTGAGAATGATGCATCAAAAAATATATTATAATCAACATCGCAATATTTTGCAATCACGCAAAAGGCGTACAAATTAACTGGTATTATTACATATAATCACTCAAACTAGTACATAAAGGACAAGCATATACTCACAAGTCACAAGGAGCATGCATATTTATTCTACATGACTAGTAAACTGTCAAGTTCCGAGCCTACACCCTTGGTGGGACTGACACTCGAAAACCATTGATGGCCCCAAACGAACCCTTGGCCTGGCTTACTTACTTAGCGGAAGACTTTACTCAAGATAAATACTTTTAAAACAAGTAAACTGAACTGCTCAAAATAACTTAGAAAGTAATAAATAACATTCACTGCCAAAGTGGCAACTCAAGTCTTAACTTAACTGAAAAGGAAAAGTAAAGACTCGTGTACTAACATCAACTAACTCTATCTATGAAGCCTCTAAACAACTGAGATGGACGTCGGTACAAGACCCACGACATCCTAATGAACTAAAATACTGAAAGCAATAAAAAGGATCCTCTGGAAAGCTAGGAGGCTCACCAACTGACTCTGAGTGCTCAACTGGATCAACGAGGTGCTGGATGCTGACCCTGGTTACCTGTGTCCGCATCATAATAAGATGCAGGCCAAATGGCATCAGTACATTGAATGTACGAGTATGCGAAGGGAATTCAAAAACAAGACACTTAAAAGGAACTGAAGAACTTACCTGGCTCAACTGAACTGAACTGAACTGATTTCAATATAAAGCAGTGTATAAAAATGCAATATAAAGAAAAGCTTTAAAACATGGTTTTAACTCTGTGTATTTAGAAATACAATAATAACTCTGTATGTATGCAAAGATACAATATGAACTCTATTTGTATATGAAAATACAAATATTTTTTATGTATATAAAAATACAAAATACTGTTGTGGGAGTTTTTCTAACCGACAACCATCACTTAAGAGTTATTGTGATAATACAACGTTTTGCCTCAACCTGCCAGGTGTTGACACCCAATTTTGGCTCTCCACATTTAATTATAGTAACAATTATAATAATAATAATAATAATAATAAAATATATATGTTATGAAATTTTTCATAGGAATACAAAAAAAAAAAA